AGCCTGGTATTAAGTCTGGGCTCAATATACAAGTAATAAGTGCAATGACAGCTAGAAGTAGAAAAATTATTGCATATTTTAAACACAGTGTTGTAACCATGATAGGACTGCATGGCAGGCAATTCCAGTTAGAAGTACCACAACACCACCTTGTGCAAGATATTTCCACACGTTGGAATTCAAGCTACTTTATACTGGAACGTCTAGCTCAACAAAAAGTAGCTACGTATGCTGTCTTTCATGATCCAGCCATTATAAAGCCAGGGCATTGTCACCTAGATTTGAATGATACTCAGTGGGACTTCCTCTCTCAAATAGTGGTTGTTCTCAAGCCCTTCCAAATAGCAACAACCGTAAACTCTAATGTGTCATGCTCAATCATTTACCCAGTCATCAACAACGAGTGCTTGTCCTAGGCAAGCTTCATTATGGTATTACTAACTTTGCCAAAAATCTAAGCTACAGCACTGGTCAGCAATAAGTTGACACGTTTTGCGTTAAAGTTGCTTTTGAGTTTGCTATAGTTTATCGTTTTCATAGAAACATACTAGTTGTAAACTAACATTATCCATGCTCAAATGTTATCGCAATCTCTGGCAAATGTAACTTGTTTAAATTTAAACTTAATGTGGTTGCTTATCTGTATGTTATCACATTTTATTGCGTTCACCAAACTAGTTTAGTATAGTTCAGCGATCGTTCGTTTGTCAACTTATTGCTGACCAGTGCCGTAGGTACCCCAGATTTATTTTGCACTTCCACTACAAATACCACTTTTATGAAGTGTGAAAAGCATTTTCTGCTCTTGAGTACAGTTAGAAAATTTGGTGGAGTAAAACTTTTGCGAATTGAGGTCCATTTGCCAAAATTTTAGTCTCCAATTTGATAAGGCTCCATAGAAGCATACACAAAGTTAAAAATTTCGGCAAAATTTTAACCTCCAAACCCCTTTTAGAGCCAATTTGCCAAATTTTAGCTCTCCAAATTTTTTAGCTATTCAGGAGTCTCACTTGCAATCGACATTTAGTTTTACCTGTTAGTGAATCTCTTCAACTGACAAAAGGTACTATTTACAGTTAATTAAAATTCAATGTAAAAAGCATTAACTTGTGTGTTCTGTTGAAAAACAATGGTTGCAAAAATATCTATTTTGTACGTTGTGCAAAAAGATGACTTGTGTGTACAGGTCCGGTAATCAGGCACTGTATTCAGAACTAGAGTTTTGGTAGTAGAGGCTTCCTCTACTACATGTACTGGAGTTACACCCCAGTATCAATTTGATATAAAAATATGTTGCAATTCACAAAGCAGTACAGTCGAGGCAAAAGTATTGTAGTGGCACAAGTGGTAGGTTGTGGGTGGGACTGTGCAAATGTGGACGCTGGTTCAAATCCAGTCAGGACTGTCTGGGTCTAATTATAGTAGGTATTTTGATTTTTTAATGTTTTGCAAATTCTTCACTTTTTACTAGCCTAGGTCGGAAAGTAAACCCCCCTTTTTACATTTTAGCCATTAGAGTTTTTCTAAGTTTTTAGAGCATAGGTCACAAGAAACACTTTTTTACTTTATTGTAGACTCTGGGTTGTAGGATTTTAGGACTAAGTTTCATCTTGGACTAATGTGCATGTGCACATGCAGTTATATGCAGAAAAACAGACTACCAGATCTCTAGCACTTGAGAATTGTGTCTGGTTACTGCCACAGCCAAAAATAGACCATGAGAAATTTAATAATTTGCTGCTTTTAAGATGCATATAATTAACCAAAATCCGTATCTTTGGTCAGTTCCAATCACATTAATTTTAGGTACACATTAATTTGTTTCTTCTTTTATTTTAAAGGTTTATCGAATCAACCATCACTATAATGTACTATTTGTGAAAGGCTGTGTTCCTGGTGCCATTAATTCAATTATTAGAGTTTCTGATGCTAAAAGGCTTGCTCACAAAGATTGTCCTTTTCCTACCAATTTTGAAGACACCTTTAAGCTATCTGAAGAGACTTATTGGGAATATCTTCAGCCCATACATTCGGAACTGTACTTAAATAATTAATTTTCTGCCTTTGTACTGCTGCAAACAGTTTTAGTTTTTTCATTATTTAATCATGTCTGTGAACTCCACTTTGATCACACATTAGTTTCCATGTAGGTGAAGATTTTGTAAAAATTGTTCAAAGCATACTCTCCCTGTAGTGTCCAATCTGTCAGCATGAGCTACTTCATTGTTGAGGCTGAGCCACTTGGCCCTTTTTTGGCCCTTAATGTTAACAACTTTCACTATACCAAACATATTGCCATAGGACACTTAAGTATCAAACTCCTCGGACTTGGGACACCTAAAAATTTTTAAGGACCAATTCTGGCTATTAACTAAGACCCCATAATAGGGACGTAAGTTATAAGCCTCACCGTAGGACAGAGCCTAACTATAATTTTTTTAATGAACCAAATCTGGCATTAAATGAGCAATCACAGTATAAATAATAAAATATCCTGTGTAGTGTAAGATATTTAAGAGTTGGAAGTTACTTGAATTGACCTAGAAATTTTTTTGCAGATTTAATTTTCATGAATTTATACTGTCTGCCAATTTGTGCCTTAATAATTTGATTTTTGGGGAATGTATGTAATGTCACTGTAACTATCATTTGAAGTATTATTTGAAGTTATTAAATTTCATGAAGGATTTGAGCATCATGTTGAGTGAGGTGTTTCATAAAATAAAAAAAGTTTTGTTGAAATAGAGTCCTTTGAATTGTGAATCCTGAAAAATCTGCGTAGAGAGAAACGTTTCTCATATCTGGTCCAAGCAAGCTGGATCCTTATTTCCCTTTTGTAACTACGTGGACATATCTAAGAAGATGGATCAGGCAAGAAACCTGCCTGCCTGACTTCGATTGATGGTACTCTTGAGTCAGCAAATCTCTAGAAGCAGCTACTTTAGAGACATCCTGAGCATATGGTCGTGAGTTGCCAGGTCCTGAGTATTTTGTAGTAGCTTTTTTGTGCATTGACTTTTACTTTGATCCCTATATTTTTTTGTGTTATAATATTATTAACGGTAGTGCTGGGTGATATTGAAAATTTGAAACAATACAATATCATGCAATATTGCCTAAAAATGAAGATACCATTATAGTGCATTCATTTGGTATAGTTTTATTTTGGGAATTGGCAGTTTGCCAGCAGAATTGCCAATATTTAAACCCCCAATCATTAATGTGCATGCTCACTAATGCACGTGTACACAAAAAGTCGCCAAATTAAAAACCGTCAATTTCAAATTTACAGCAAGATTGCCAAAGTAAAGCACCGCCAAAATAAATCATCATACGGTATTGATATTTTTTATCAACAAGTTATTAAGCCACAGCCATTAACTTTAATTATACTGAAACAGCTGAATAAAGCTATTTCTGAGAACAATTGTTGTTAAAAAGCATCATAAAAACCTTTTTTGGCTTCATATTATACTTCAGCTACTTCATCTGCTTTCCAGGAAAAGACATTTTAGTATTTTCCGACTATAGTTAATTAACCCTTTATTGAGGTGTTGTAAGTTTTATGGGTGTGATCATGTTATTGATGTTTTCTTTGATATTAACAAGTATCAGTACTGCATTACATTGATTAAATATCATGAATTTTGATATATTGGCAAGCACTAATGAACATGGAGCAACGGTCAGTCTTGGCAGCTAAGAGGAGTTCTCATAAAGAAGTTGTTAAGAAAAGAATGCATGAGCTTGATACTATCCTTGCAGAGGAGGAACTGGACTTGACTGGGCTGAAACAGTGAAGGCTTTTTTCATTAAAGTAAGATCAGGCAGTTTAAACAAACGTGCATGTTGAGTAGGGCAGGGCCTGACAAGGCATGGCCAGGACCTCTTTCTACTGATGAAATGGAGCTACATAAATTCAATTTAGCTTCTAGCCTCTCAAAAGCACAATATACATCTTGTCTAAATGCTTCTGCCTCCTTGACCTTGAGATCCAAACCCATTGCCGCTTCATCCCCATGGCAATGTGGCTGGAGTACCTAAAGTTATATTGCTCATTTCACCTATTAAATGTTTCTCACATTCGTTTGCAGCAGAGGCCTGCATGAAACCCAACTTTTTGAATCTGGGGTCCAGAAAGGTTGCAGAAGCCAGTAGATAGTTCTCTACAGTCCCAAAACGATGGGCAGTGTTCGCAATTAGCTTGTCCCTTAGTATGCTTTTTGATTTTGAAGCCATTGTCAATTTTTGTATGGAGCGAACTATTGGTTTGACTTTCGATAAAGAAACATACTTCTCACTTGAGATTTCTGTTGTTACTGCCTCAAAAGGAGCTAATAGATTAACTGTATCTTCAAGCAACGGTGTTATTTAAACAGAGATCCTTCCTGTCTAGCAAGCAAAGAGTTGTGATGATAGCGTTGTGTTGCTCAATGTATTTTTGAAACATGTAGAAGGTTGAGTTCCACCTTGTCTCTACTTCTTGTATCAGCTTGTTCTGTGGTATATTGAGCTGCTTTTGAATATTGACTAGCCTATCACTAGCTTTTACACATCGATGAAAATATGCCACAATGGTTCTACATTGTGTTTGTAAGCCTGACAAATTAACATCAGAGGCTATAGCTCCTTGGACAATAAGGTTAAGTGTGTGAGCTAGACATGGAAGATGATTCCATTTTGTCATTCTGATAGCTACATTCATATTGCTCGCACTATCTGTCACAGCAAAAGCTACTTTATCATGAGTGTTCCATTCTTTTGTGACTCTTTGAAGCTCTAGTGCTATGTTTTCACCAGTATGATTGGTTGTTAGATGCACTGTTTCTAGAACACAAGACTTTGAAGTGAAATTCTCTGTATTGATGTAATGAGCAGTCACAGACAAAAAACTTTGTGTAGACCTAGATTTGCATAGGTTTGTTGTAATGGCACAAAAAGTTGCATTTGACAGTGATTCGGCTACTTTACTTTTGCACATCTCGTAAATCTTAAGAAGATGATTTCGAGTCATTGTTCACCTACTTGGTGGTACATATTTGGGATCAATCACTTTAAGGAATTTTTGAAAACCTTGATCATTGACGATAGGAGTTTGCTGCAAATCTGTTGCAATCATTGTAACTAAAGCATCATCAATTCTTTTTTTCCGCTCTGAGTTTTCCAAATAAATAATAACAAAATAAATATATTATTATCTAGTACATTGCCTATAGGCACTGTATGATTATGCAATGACACAGCTATGGACATACTTCCATAAGGCTCAGCAAAAGTAAAGCGTCAGTTGTGGCATCACTTTTGCCTTGTTTGGTGCAGCAGCCTGTTCAGATCTTTGTTTTTCTACTTCCTCGTTTTCTTTGTTATGATTTGATTGCAAGTGCTATTTTGTATAGTAATGATAATAATAATCATAGTAATGCTACATTGAATATAATTACTTTAAATAGATTGCTAGTATTGCCAGCTGTTTTCACTTTTTGTTTACAGACATCACAAAAAGTGCAGTCTTTATCTTTGTAAAAGTGGTCCCATATATTACTTCTTTTTCTGCTGCTTGCCATCACTCAAATTGTAGAAATTGTAAAGAGCTTATAGTAACTAGCCAGATATGCTTTCAAGGTAATTTGCAGCTGCTTTCTTGCTGACTCATTGACTCAACCTCTCATGCACACAATTGACACGCAATAATAGGTTAATTAACTCAAATTACTTTAAAAGAGGCGGGATAAAGGCGTGGCTTGAGTATCGTTTGTTGCTGTTCCTATATTTCGATACTGAACCAGTATTGGTTGTATTGATATTATTTCGATAGTATCACCCACCACTACCACATGAAATCATTGTGTACAGCTATAGTTTTTGTCATATTGACACTGTATTGAATACTGATATTTATAAAGACAACATTGTAGTTCAACTGTAACTCAAAAGAGTTGCATATCATGTAAAACAATAACAAAAAATGGCATAAAAAATGATAATAACAATGTCCATAATGCCTATTTGGTTACAATGCACTGCTGTCAGTTATAATGCCCAGACAGCTATTTAAGCCCATTCTGGGCAGTCTTCTGGAGGTTGGCGGACAGAAGTCCCTCCTCTTGCACTCGTATGACCATTTGCTTCCCTCTATGTGTACAGCGTCTAGCAATTTTTCTATTCAAACTTTCTATTTAGTTAACAAAGTCGGGATTTCGCCACTGTAAAGTGTGCTTTACAAAAACTTTCTCTGGCACATCTAGACCCTGATCTTCATTATCCTCATCAGACTGAATCACTGATTTTTTTTTCTAATCTGATCATAAGAGCTCGAGTCACTAAGTGCTTTCTTTCTTGCAGTACATTTCTACCAATATCAATCAGAATAAACATTTGGTGTACGTATTTATTACTGTTACATTTATCATTTTCTGATGATGACTTTGGTTCCCGTTAGTCTTTTCCTGAATGCCCCTACGTTCCCTCTGGTGCCTATTTTTCAGTGATTTGAATTATGTTTTACAAGCTTCTGTAAATTAAATTTCTATAACTGGATGGTTAAGTATTGACTCACTTGTAATTTGCTTTGAAGTATATGACTCTTACGTCATTAGTCCTCTGATATCACGTGCTAGAGCAGCATTTATTGCTTGATTATCTGGATGGTCAAACCTATATAGTGCGTGATTTTTAATTATATCAGCAATAGCTATTATAGCTACTAGTAACCCAACTGAAAAGTTGCATTCAATATATTTCTGATCAGAGTTGAATTTGAGTTTTTTGTATGCATCATGAACCATTCCCTATTATAATTTACCAATATCATGTCAATGAGGTTTAGTGAGCAGCTGCTTACAATTAAACCTCTTGGCAGTTTACTTGGAATGACATTTTGCCTTTGGCTCTCTTCAGACCTCTTAGAGTGTTCTCAATGTATTCCGTTTTGCTCAACAGAACTTCTAGCTGGCTAGCTGTCCAAGTCAAGGTGGCAGCCACAGGTGGTATATTTGTAGATCTGTGACTGTGAGGAGTTTTAGCACTAGATCTGACTGCTAAAGGGCTAGAACTTAAACTACTCATTGGAGTAGGTTGAGGAGATTGAGGGACGCTTGAATGTCCACATATTGGAGTACAGAAGGAGGATGAATCCAGCGGGGTGGCCGGCCTTGACGATGGAAACTGGGGAGACGGTGCGCTATTAGTGATACAGTTTGGTCTAAGAGTATGATTTCGTGGCTGGTTGCCATGTGGTCCTTCCCAAGAAAGCCATGGACCTAGCACCTATAACTTAAACAATAGTGATACTGTTAAAAAACTTACTTTACAAAAAAGAATAGAGAGAGTGTGAAAAGAAAACCAAGAAGAACTAGCTGGACAGCTGCAAATAGTTAGCACTTGCTGTACTGGGTGGAACTGAAAGGGCGCGGAAAGGCGTGGCTTAGTACATAATTATTTAGCCAAGTCCACTTAGTACAGCTACAGTGATCATTAATTGGTTTTGTAAGACTAGCTATGCTTGCATCAGGAAAGAAGGGGAGATGGTGTGATCACTGTAGTCAGTTCTTAACAATACCCGTTTATAAAAGACACAAGTATCTGTATTTTGATGAAAGAACAAGTTCCTGGAGTCAATCAGGTGGCCAAACTGAATTGTCATCTCATGATGATTCTGTGGATGAGGGTTCTAATGTTTTGCAAGATTGTGAAATATTGTCAACAAAACAGGAAGAAAACAACTGTGCTGTAGAATGCACTCCATCTTAAGGTACACGTATCACTTGGCATCACTCTATCAGTGATGGCATGCACAACTAAAAGCAAAACATGCACTAGATAGATCTACTGGTAGAATTTTATGGCACAATTTTAAACTGAAAACACTTCCATGGTACTGTTGCCATAAACTTGAGAATTAGCAGATCTAGGTTCCAGCACATGTGTATAATATAGCCTGGCCTATATAGGTTAATAAAAATGCTACAAAACTGTGACACATGTGCAGTACTAGAAATAATCTGCATGGCTGTTGTTGTTGTTATTAATATAGTTATTATTATTATGATAATTATTATTATTATTATCAAGAGTCCATAATAATGGACTTTTATTATTAGTTCTATATGTACAGCACATTAAAAACACTTACACATGCATAAAGCGCAGTCACAACTGTGCAAGCAAGAAAATAGTTACACAAAGCTTATTATCACTAAACTATAGTATTCATACTAATTATCTATTTGTTACATCCTTTGTTACAAAAGCACTATAATAGTGCTCTATACGGTATACCAAAACTAATTTTGGCTTACATTCGTTATTGGTGATACTACTGTCTCTAACTCGGACAGTAATTCAGAGGCGTGCTGAGAGTTCGAGGATGTAGATTTAGATGAAATATGGAATGTTTCTGATTCAGAAATATTGCTTGACTTTGATAATGCAGATGTTGCTATACTTCGTGATGCAGAAGACCCTTCCCTTGAAGAAAAGACTAACACAGAGCAATATCATATAATTTAAGTTTTTCTTCTATTAGTTTGGAGTACATTGCATGGAGTAACATACATATATGCTTAAACTTATTCATTTTACTTTTCAAAAGTTGGCTGTCCTTTATCTTATACCGTAATTCTTCTAAAATTTCGCACCTCTAATTTCAAAAATAAATAATTTTAAAGCACTTTTATTTCAAAATTAATTCTAATTATTCGTTTTGTAAATTATGATGAAAGTTCTTCTAATTTCGCCATTTCCCTCCAATTTCGACACTCGACAGCATTATAACACATGGACCTGTGCTGGAAGGGGCCGAAAATCATGTCTAACTCACAGTGATGCCTCTTGCAGCACTCCACCGGACAGATGACTGCCATTAGTAGGCTTAAGTTCAAGATTCAGATTGTATCAGTCAAGCAACATAGAAGCATCAACAGATTTATATCTTGTCCAAACATGCATCTTAGTGCCTCCTATTTTGTCATAATTAATTGCTAGTTGGCCATAAAGGCTTAATTTACTCTAATTATTCGTTTTAAAAATTTATTTATCAAAAGTGACTGTGGCGAATTTTTAGAAGAATTACGGTGTTTGTTAAAATTGTTAATGTTTTTTTCCAAAGCATTTACAAACTTCGCAAAGTTTTTTCCCTCCATTCTGATGACTTCCACAAATATGTTGTTTGTCCTTCATGTCATTCAGTATATCTTTTTGAAAACTGTTACAACAATAATAATGGAACATTTGAGCCTAAAACCTGTTTGTATGTTCGTTATCCCAATCACCCTCACACAAGTAGAGAAAAGCCATGTGGTCATCAGTTACTAAAGAAAGTGTCA